TTGGGAGGGAGGAGCATATATCCAGTGGTGCTGTTGAAATCAAATGTCTCTTATTTGCCATAGAACACAGACTCCTGGGCCATAATGAGACCTAAGGTACGAGCCAGAGCTTTCACACGAAGAGAATGACAGAAGCATCCCAGTCAATGCTGATGCCAAGAACATCACAATTCCGGGTTCCCTGGAAGGCTGAACCCCGGTCAGAAAATCTACTGTGAGTCACTGTCCCCTTGGTCTCTAGTGCCCTCTGTTGGCTGCTAGGATGGCAACTACCCTGGGAACAGCAGAGACCTGGGGCATTTCTGGCTGGCGAGCAGTGAGGCACAGATGCAAACAGATCCCACCCCCAGTGCATTTGCACCCAGAGCACCCCAGGCACAGAGTCCTCAGCCCAGCATCCTGTTACCTTCCTAAAGAGCAAGGACTGGCTGGCGTTGACGTTCTAAGTGCATGTCACAGCAATATTGTGCAATGACTCTGAGTTCAAAGATGATGTTGTCTTTAGTCTCCAGTTCGTACTGAAGATCTTGTACCAAAGTCCTAGACTTTGAACAGGGACATTTCAGCGCATGCCTCTCTTCTCCCCAAACATCTAGACCATGCTAGCTCATTGTGTGTGTGTGTGTGTGTGTGTGTGTGTGTGCGCGCGCGTGTGCGTGTGTACTACAGCGTGAAGGAGGAAGAAGAAAGTGTGTTAGGGAAAGAGTGGACCTGTGGCTTTAGAGAAGTGCTCTTGCTGTACCTCAGTAAATCCAAAAATATGTGTGGAAACTAAAAATGTGCCCTCTCGGTGTGCATTGAGTTGGCCGGTCCCAGACAGAAAACCTCTGATCAACAGTATCTTGTATTTACTGACTAAAGGTATTTCTTAGACACGGTCAAGTCCTATCCTCAAGGCTGAGAGGACATTCAAGAACATGTTTACTTGGTAAGAAAAACCTTTGAGACCATTCATGAATTGCTACTCCATCGCTTGTATCTTTATTAAAGCAAGATGGGGGATTATCGATGCTGTTACTTTTGGCCAAAATGGAAACATCATCTCTTGCAGAAAAACTGAGTGAGAAAACCATGGGATCCCTCTGAAGTGGCGAGTGACATAGCGAATGAAAACCTTGTGGAGGCAGAGATTCAGGAAGTCATTCATCAAGCTGGCCTTCTCTGAATTCAGCTGTTGAACTTTGTTTTATTTATTTTTTTTAAGTATACAGTTCAATAGTTTTTAGTATATTCTCAAAATTGTGTACCATCACCATTAGTTCCAGAGCATTTTTATCACCCAAAAAAGAAACCCCACGCCTTCAGTAGTCGCATTTCCCACAGCCTCCAGCCCCTGGCAACCACGAACCTATATTCTGTCTCTACAGGTTTGCCTATTCTGGACTTTGCATATAAATGAATCAGACAACATGTGGTCTTTTGCAA